ATTTTGCATACGTTTGGTATGACCCTCAAATTTCTATTAGGTGCACAAGACCTGGTTCAACTTCCAGAAGCAGGATTTGAGTAATGGTCCTTTTGTCTTGCCTCCTAGTGATTTTTGTCTTTATATCACCCAGGTGGGAAGAGAGCCTGGACCCACAGTGAGAAGAGCTATAGAAATCATGAAGCACAACTGTATAGAAAAAGGATAGACAGAAGGGGATGGACACCAGCAAACTGAGAAGACAGAGCCATCTAGAACTGCAGAGCAGTGAGGGGCACCTGAGGAACAGTGGCCCTGGAAAGAGAAGGCAGATACATGCCAGGTGAGTGGGAAGAAGGCAAAAAGGGGAAAAAAAGAAATGGGAACAAGAAGAGGCAGCAGTCATGCAGGAAAGAAGAGATGCTCCAAACTGAATTTAAAAAGGCAGGCAGAAAAGATGCTAGGTCAAAGAATTGTTTTTAGAACAGAATTTATGTCAAAGTTCTACTTCTACCTATTCTAACCATTTTATCTGCCTCAGCATTTTCATTCCCAAGGGGGCTTGTGATGAGCCTTATCTAGGGCTTCGGAAATATGGTAAAGAACAAGGAATGGGTTGGGAATCTTCATGTGGCTATTTATGAAAAGAGAACCTAACCAACTTATTCAATTTAGTCCTGATCACAACAGAAAGTCATGGTGACTACAGCACACTTTCTAAGCTGGCATACTCTGAAGTTCTATGTAAGAAATTATTCATTCAGCTGTCACCAATGACTGAGATGATATAATCTACTATGATTTAGGATTATAAAGAGAAATAAGTCATATTCTCTGTCTGCAAATTGTTCAAAGACCATGAGAAAGACAGATACATAACAGTATTTTGAGAAGTGCCAATGGAGGCATGGAAGAGGGTATCCTTTAGCTATATCCCACACATATCTTCATTATGTAGTTCAATTGGATTATTTCACCTGGAAAACCAACCCTGTTCCTCAAGCTATATTTCTTGAAATCCTGACCATTTTTCAAATCTAGGTCAAACGCCATTTTTCAAAAAAGCAGTTCCTCATCTTAAAATTGAAATTAATCTTTCCATTCTGTGTGCATCTGTAACACATTATTTATTTCTGTGTTTTAACACTTATTCCAATTTTTTTCTTTTTAAAAGACCATGTATCGTGGAGATATATATATATATATATATATATATATATATATATATATATATATATATAAATAGATTAGCTGAGGCTTGATTCTTCTTTTGGTCTCCTGAGCATAGAGGTTTCTTAAAATGCACTCAAGATACGAAGAGGTAAAAATTCATTCAGATCAACTAATTTACAGCTGCTTTAGGATGCTAGAATGGATCCACTTCATATTGGGTAATTGTGGCACATAAGAAAAAAAAAATCACATGTTGTTTGAAGAGGCATAAAGAAATGGCTTTAGACTCAATCATTCTTTCCATCTTTTCTACATTTGGACAAAGAGCATAAAACAACAACAACAACAAATAAACAAAACAAAACCCTCAAATCAATCAAATAATTTGGAAAAGACTGCATATTTCAGTAACTCGATATCGATTGAAGAAACCAAGTCCTGAGAGATTCAGATACTTCTTCAATATCACACACGCAAAATCAACAACGCACCTTGAGACCATTAAGTTCAAGGCTCTTCCCAGTAGACTAAATAGTTTCCCTTTAATAAAAGACAAAGAGCATAGCTACAAGGAAGGAAGGAAGGCAGAGAGGGAGGGAGGGAGGGAGGGAAGCAAGGAGGAAGAAAGGAAGGAAGGAAGAGAGGGAGGGAGGCAGAGAGGAAGGAAGGAAGGAAGGAAGGAAGGAAGGAGAGGGAGGGAGGGAGAGAGAAAGGAACAGAGGGAGAGGAGGGAGAAAGAGAGGGAGGAAAGAGAGGGAGGGAAGGAAGAGGGGGAGGGAAGGAAGAATGGAAAGGAGGAAAAATACATAGCAGTAATATACAAACAGACATAGCAGTGACATATACACAGAAAAAGAATTCACTTGAAAAGCAGTATACATTACAGAAAATATTTTCCCTATCAGCCCATTTGTCCACAAGAAATATCAAGTTTTCAATAACATCAATGAAATTATTTGTAGAGTTTAAAGCTTTGATTTAAAAATCTGACTATTAAAATTTCCAGGTCATTTATCCTTTGGACATCAAACAATTCTATACAGTTGGCACGGAGATTATTCTGAAGTTCTAAGAACCTCAGTGGATGACACTGATGATTAACAGGTGTTCTTAACAGTTGCAGGAGTCAAATGATACATCAAGGCTCTGTTGAAAAGTACACATTCACACATGTTCTCTCCCATCATGACTTAGGCAAATGTAGCAGGTGCACTCCAATCTGACATAGTTTACTGCATCCCTATTCTGCTATTATTGCCAGAACTCCTGCCTTTTCCCAGACCAGTCCCATGTCACTACTGCCCTTCTCCCTTCTAATAGATCTGCCCCAGGTCAGCATATGAAAACACACCACACACACACACAACACACACACCCCAGACACACCAGGTCAAAGCACTAAATTTGAATTTAAAAAGTTACCAGGTTCTAATTCTAAACAAGTACATCTATCTACCTATCTATCTCTACTATATATTGATATATACCTATCTACTTAGCCCTTTTTATCTAATCTTCACAGTGATATATAATCACTCAGATAAAAACCACCTAGTTTAAAAATTCTTTCACTCAGTACAGAGTATGGTCTTCAAAAGCTGGTTTTCAGTTATGTGACTGCCTCTACTGCTTTGCACTTTCCAAGGCACCCTCAAAGGTACAGGGACAATACAGGGGCTTTTCAGGGACATAAGGGCTTAAATACTTCTGCCACTTAGCATTTGTATGATCTTGAGAAAATTACTTAAACTTTCTGGACAATAATTTCCTTGTTTCTAAAATGATGGTATTTATACCTACTTCATGCAAGTGTAAGGACTTGAGGCAATATACACCAATGGGTTCTGCAGGGGAGAGCTCAGTGAAGACCAGATATTATGAGGAAGAAAGGAAGGAGGAGGAAGATGATGGCTATGCTTCCTAAATGCCCTCCATATTTCTGAATTTCTCAGCAAAGCTTAGCAGAACTTAACTGCTCTCTCCACATAGAAGAGAGAGAACTAGAAGTGGGGTGTCTATGAATGGCTAGCACTTAATATGTGATTTTCCTATTTGTGTTTACATGTACATGCACTCATGCCCCTTCCACTCTTGGGAAAAGAACATTCCACAGTGATGAATCCAGCATCTTTTGAAGAGTCAAGGCCATTTTTTCTCTTTTTTGCTTAGGAGCTAGACTTCACAAAGCAGGGTAAGCAAATTCCTGAGTCCCCTCACAGTGGCTTAATCATAGAATTTCCAGTTACAGAAGCAGGCCCTGGCTGTTTTCTTCCTCTGGAAATTCTAGTAACTGTGAGATAACCCATAGATCACAGAACAAATGCTCAGGTTCTTTCTAGAGTCTCAGAGTCAGAATACAAAATCCCAAGTCACTAGCAAAGCTGCTGCTACATTTGAGCTGTCCAAAGTACAAGGAAGGAGGAAGTCCTAGTCTACCCCGGACATGCCCTGAATGATAGGTCTGTTTACAGCCTGCCTAAGATGCCATTCTGTTTGCAAACACACACTACCTGCCATATCACTCAACAAAATAATTCTATGGAAAGCCCGAAGGCAAATGACTAATATGAAAAGTGTCCCATGCATCATTTCAGTGATGACTCCACAGACATCAATTAAACATGGAAAAGACATGCTCTGAAGTACCATCTGGCATTTCCCAAGGAGCTGTAGTCAATGGCTAGAAAAACAGAAGTGATTATAACTCTGAAGAAATTTAGCAGCCCCCTCCTTGCTCAAAAGCAGCAAGGGCGCAGGAGGACAATGAACCTGGAAAACCTCCAAGAGAAGAGATAAACACGGAAAAGCCTGAATCTGAAGCCAGTGCTGCTCTAGAAAGCAAAGATCAGGGGTTGCATGAGGTCATCTTTGCAGCCATCAAAAAAGGCAGACAGGTGCAGAGAATGCTTGAGTTTGTCTAGTAGTCAGTCTAGAGGTGAATGTCAATTGTTATGCGGCCAAGTGAGAGAAGAATTGGCAGTAGTCCATCCCTTGCTGGAGTGCTTTCCAAGGGTCAGCATTGTAGGACTTTGGTGCACTAGGCCAGGATCACTGTAGTCTAAACATCCTTCCTTAGAAACCATACTTTCACAATCTTTTCAGTGGAAGAAAAAGGACATATCTAACAAATCTAATGAGAATGATACCAGGGTATAAAACCCCCAGCCTCTGGACAGACAATGGCTGGAGCAGAAGTGCTTTTCAACATTGCAGTTCTAGATCAGTCAGGCAGACACCTGTGTATATATAGACAACACTTCAAACACCATCACCTCATCACACCTAATGACTTCCTGTGGTGAGAGCTTGCATTCTCTATTTCTGGCTTTTCTAACAACAAAAATATGTGTCTTCATAACCAGTCCTGAATCCAAACCCATTTTTTAATGCTTATCTGTTTGTTTCTCTCTCCAAAATACAAGTTCAGAGAAATGAGAAACAAAATATTTCTCAGTTTTAATTTTGATTCATATCTATAATTTTTAATGACTTTTTATTCATTTTCCTTGACCACTCATTTAGTCAGATCAATGCGCCCTTCATATACCTTGGCCCCAACATCAAGAAGGTTAATATTCTCAGAATGAAGCTATCAAGTATAAACAAAATAAAACCAACAAAAACAACAGTGCAGTGATCCCATTTCATAAGCCCCTTGTGCAAACGATGCAGTGTACTTAAATCTCTCTAAAGCAGCTGCTTTCTGTGTTAAGTTTTGGTTTGGAAACCAAAGGGTCACTGACAATTATTGCCTCAGCACAACAGAAAAGCAAAAGCAATCCAACCCATTAGCAACACTAAAATGGTAGAATTAAACACAGTGTGAACAAGTAGGAATAGAAGAATACCTGGGATTGCCAGATTGGATAGGGGGACTTTGTGGAGGTGAAGGGGGAGCGAGGCCATCCAGTCGGCATTGCAGACCTCCGATGCTGTCTTTGTCCCGCTGGGGTTGGGGGAGCAGATGGTCCCCATCCTTAGTTTCCTCCTTGCCTTCCTAAGAGCTAGCATCCCTCTCGTCCCCAAATTAGCCAGCAGCTCAGCCCAATGCCACTTACTCAGTGATCATCACTTGCTCGGACTTTCTAGACATTTCGGAACCACCTTTGTCACGCCAGTCTTCTTAAAATGCCTCTCCGGCTGGAAGATGGGTCAGAGAGGTGGGTCCCAGCAACCAGAGCCCGTAGTCCCCACCCTCTCGGCCCAGCCTCTGCTCCACTCTCTTAATCTGCTCAGTCCCAGCTCGGTTAAACTTCTTACGTTCTCCTCCTTCCTCTCCAGAGATGGGGGAGGTAGGCCGGCAGAGATAAATCCTACAGACCGGGAACGTCTGAGGGGCAGCCACGCCCGGAGCTACTCACACGACAGGTGCCCACCCGGCACGGAGACGTGCCCAGGGCTCTGCACACATGTGCGCCCCCGGGCGCGCCATCTCTAGCTCCATGTGTGCTTCTCTACTTGTCAGCGGCTGGTGACCAGCCTGCCACTCGCTTCCCGACTTCCTGCACAGTCGCCCCCCGCCCTGGGTTTCCTGAAAGGCGCTCGGAAGAGTAACCGGCGGCTCTCGGACTCCCGGCAGCCCCGCCTCGCACTGCCGGGCAGATTTGCCGGGCTAGGCGGCCCGTGATTGGCCGCGGGCGCAGCGCGCTCCGATTGGTCAGCGCTTCCTGGGGCGCCCCTCCATCCCGCTCCCTCCGCGCCGCCGCGGCCTGAGCGCTCCCGTCGCTACTCCTGCCGGCCGCATGCACACGCACGAGATGCAGCTAGCTGCTGCAGACGTGGAAACTTGCAGGCTTTGGCCACTCGGGCCTCAGAAGGTTTTCTTTCCTCCTGCCTTCCACATAGTCAGCTCTCAGATGCCACATGTTTCTATCTTCTCTACCCAACTCCTTCTCCACCCCCCACCGCCCGGTACGATGACAATTACTCAAGAAAAAAAAAAAATCATTAGATTTCCCGTAATCCACAGAAGCAGCCGAAATAGGAGAGAAAAGTGAGGGCAAGAAAGATGGTGTATCTCCTATTTGGATGACAACATCAAGGACGATGTGTGCTTCCAGAATTCCATCGTTAAGATTCACACACTCACTGCACTCTACTTGGTAGTTCTGGGCTATCATTCCCGTTTTACAGAAGAGAACGCAATGATGTTTTACATTTGCATTGCTCTGTTGTCTTTCAAATTCTTTGTCCCGCTTGCTCTTCACAGTACCCCCCACAATGCAGAGGAGGACAGTTGCTGTGTGCTTCCCTTTAATAGACGAAACAGTCTGGGAACATTCAGGGAGCGGGTCATGCGGTAGCACTGTTTGCAATTTCCATATTGGAGAGAGGCCCTCTAGCTCAGCAGGGCTGTTTGTATGCAGTAACATTTCCCTGATTTCTGCGGCGTTCCCTACTCATTCCTTCAAATGGTACTTTGCTGTTGTGGAGAATTATAGGATCTCTATTGGTGTGAAGATTTTAAAGACCAAAAATCACAATAACTTCTTGGCAAACAGGCAAATTAAGAAAAACACCATGGCCTTGATGGTAGAATCCTGGAGGGCTTCAAGGCCAGGCAGGTCCTCAGTGACTCAAGAGGGTCTTATGGGAAAAGAAAACAGAGGCTGGGCAGGCAAATAGAAAACTGAAGACTGACATTTAATCGCCAAATGGCCACACTTCCTCTTTAGCACTCCAACGCACCTTTCTAGATGCATAACGCCTACTGCACATGGCCTCCTTCTGACATTTTAAAATCCCTGGTTCCAGGTTATTCTTAACATTCATTTAAACATGCTTAATATTACCAACCTTTTTTTTGTCTCCGTGGAGGAATACTGTTTGACAGGTAATTAAAAGAAAGTGTGAAGATTTATCATGTATCTTCTGATGTTTAAAGGGCACTACAATATAGTACTATTGTTTTCAACTGCACTACTGGATATCGGGAATGTCAGCTAGCTGTTTGAGTCAACAAGATCTTCCTCTGAAAAAATGAAACCATTCTATGAAGAAATATCCCAAGATTTATGTTTGCTATGCCACTTTTCTGGACTGTCTCGGAAGTTTAAAAATTTTAAGGAAGCTGCCTAAGGCAAATAAAATATATTTCTTAAGCTCAACTGTGCAATGTTAATTTCAATGCCTCCCCTCCCCCCCGTTTTTCGCGTTAATGGAAGGAGTGAGTGCATTAAGAAAGCAACAGATTTAGACTTAGGGGCATTACTCAAGAGAAGTGGAACCACCGAAAGTGAGATCATTTCGGAGTGAGTTGTTTTGCACAACTCTGAAACTGGTAGTGAAAGTACTTGGTTTGCCCAGGAAACCGGTTCAAAAGGAGGGCAAGACTCTCCATACATTCCCGAGTCAGTGCTGGAGGGACTCTTGCAGGTGAAAACAGAACCTAATATAATACTTGGCATCGAGGAGGTGCTCAGTAAGTATTTGTTGGAAAGAGGGTGACGTGCTCTGCCAGGCTCTAGGTATTGACTTTAAGGTGCAAATCGATCATATTGTAATTCAGTTGATCTGAGGTGAGCATTCCTGACAAGATGCTGATGCTGATGCTGCTGGGTCAGACTATAGTTTGAGAATGGGCTCATGTGTAATCGGTACAGCTATGCCTGGCTTTTCCCCTCTCTTCCAAGGTTTCATAATACTTTTATATCAGACTTATAATTTAAAAATATTTGCTTTTAAAATCCAGGCTAACATTCTGTAAGAGTTAGAGCATAATTTCTCTGTCATATTATGAAAGGAAACCGAATTATCAATGGGATTTTACAGCTATACTACAGATCTTTAGGGAAAAAATAATTTGATTTTCAGCAGTACTGGGGCTTGAACTCAGGGCTTTGTGTTTGCTAGGCCAGCACTCCACAATTCAAGCCATGCCTCCAGTCCTTTTTGCTCTGGCTATTTTTGAGATGGGGTCTTGCTTTTTGCCCAGGCAGGCCAGCCTGGATCACTATCCACCTATTTTATACTTCCTGCCATAGCTAGGATGACGGGAATGTGCCACCATGCCCAGCTTTTTCTGTGGAGATAGGATCTTGTGAAATTTTTACCCAGTCTGGCCTTCAACTGCAATCCTTCCCATCTCATCCTCCAAGAAGCTATGATTACACAGGTGTGAACCACTGCTGCCCAGCTAGGGAAAAATATTTTTTAAATAAAAGTCTTAGAACTTAAAGTTAATATTTTCATAACACTGAATTGTGAATGTTATCAAAGAGAGAGGAAACTAAATTAATAGGAGAAATAAAATTCAAAACAAGTCAATGTTAATAAACAATTATAGCCAAATGGAGTGCATACAATATACAAATCATTCTGGTAGGTGCTGAGAATGGAAGGAAAGTTAAATGATCCTCAGATAACATATAATCCAGTACAAAAGAGAGACAAGTATGTGAATTACAAATTGTAGTGTGACACAGAATGAAAGGATAGCACAGGCATTTGAGGACACAATGCAGTGGTATGAATTTTGGTGGGATAAAGGCCAAGGGCTGCATTACTGGAGGAGGTGGCATTCAGCTAGATTTTGAATTCTCAATTCTTGGAAAAGCTTCTGCTTGTGGAAAATGAGGGGGTAGTTTTGGCATGGAAAGGGATGTGTAGCTGAGAAAAGATAAACAAATCTATGACAATGCATGGTAGATGTGAGAAACAAAATACACAAGAGTAGTGTGTGGGATAAAAATGGGAAATACAATACAATTGCTTTCAGTTAATCTACACAAGAGCCAAATGGGTTAGGACTACCGCTACTGCCTCCCAGGTTGGAGGATACACAGTTCTGCCCAAGATCGCATAGCTTGTTAGTGGTAGAGCTGTGACACCATGGCTCTCCATTGTCATGCCAAAGGCTTTCCGTTGTATGTTATCCATTATTACTGTAAACCAGGTAAAGGCTGTTTATGACCAAACCATATTAAAGAGCTTGGACTTTGTTATTTTCATTTTCCACGGATAAAATGGGCCATGGCAGGCTTTTGAGGAAGGAGTAAAGTGATTCACACTGTACTTTAGGAAAATTGCTATGAAGAATGGAGAGTAGTTGAGAAACAAATCTTTCAGGTATATCACAAAAATCAATTATCTAAACAAGGAAAAGTGAGAAAGCATGCAAAGTCCTGGTACTTCTGCTTGCTCTACTCATCACTTCCAAAGACCTATAATTCTGAGTGGGTGGCCTATCTATCTCTGAAAGCATATTTCATCACATGAAATCCTCATCAAACTGTTCATCAATTTTTATTACTTACAACTAAACCTGTTTCTATGAGTACATCTACAAATTTTGTTTTCTGAATTCTCAGGAATTTTTTCAGTAAGTTCCAGAGAACTTGCTTAATTCCTAAAGAGCTGACTATAGTATTTTTTTCCCTCCTTAGAGACTACATTATATTTTAAAGGATCTATATTTTGAAGCTGGTTGAGTTTTGTTTGAAAGTCAACCATAAATGATTAACAAGGGTCTCAGAGCAGGTGACTAAAGAGCTTGCCATTCAGAAATTCTGGTTGGCAGGATAAACTGGCCTGGGTTTTATTTGACTTAAGGCACCCAAAGATCCTCAAAGGATATAGTGACTTAGTGGCATTGCATCTGAGGCTGTATTTGACCTCCAAATCTAAGACCCTATGTCGCCTTATCTCCCAGGCTGTATACTAAATAGGAAAGAAACAGACCTCAAACAGAATCAGGACCTAGGCATGTTTGGTCCAGTGACTAGGGATGAGTGAAGCTACATGATGCTTTGAGTTACATACTGATTTCTCATTCACAGTATTTATTTTTCCAGTTGTGGGATGGTATGGGTGGGGAGAGGGTAAAGTACTAAAATCCAGTTTATGAAAGATGGGATGGAGTATAAACTGCTTTGATTTGTGGCTTCATCTCAGCCCAGTTTGTTCTAGTCATTTTCAACCTCCTGCTCTAGTTCAAACAAAACGCAGTGTGATAAGGATCAGAGTAGAATGAAGAAATGCCTCTGACATGAGAGGTGCTGGGGATCTTCAGAAACATCCAAGGAAAGCAAGGTACCAAGATACACCTTGTGTCTCATGAGCACGTGATACTCCACACGCATTCCTGTCCAGGAGGCAGAGTCAGGGCAGTGGATCAGGGCAGTGATCCAGTTATTTTGTTTTCAGGGCTAGAGCCGGAGACTATTGTTTTGGCATTGTTATTATGACATATTCCGTGATTATACCCAGGTGGCGTGGCCTTAAGAAACCGGGTAAGAGAGCAATAGTAGCATTAAGCAGGAAGTGGTAATATGATATTACCTCATGACCACGTCTGCTGAGATTAAGTAGTGAGACAAGAGTGAAAGCACTGTGCCTGGCCATGGATTGTTTCCATTAGATTCGAGTTCTTAGTGTTCAGGGAGACCCTAAAAGTCTTTGTGTCTTTTAAATGTACATTAAGGGTTTTTTCTTCTTTTTTGCTATAAGAAAATTTCCTTTAGCTATAAGACAGTGCTACTATAATATTTTTGAGAAGAACCACTAATAACTGATGGTTGTAAAATTTGTCTTAATACCTAATTATTCCTTCTACCATTCCTTACTCCTGCAGTCCCTC